TTCTTATTATTATTTTTTAAATTTAATGACTCTGGTGATTGAGTAGATTTGAAGTATACTGTTTATATAATTTATAAGAACACTGATAGTCAACTTCTTGGACATCTTCTAAGGGCCCAGGATTGGATTCTTTTCTCCTTTTCTTAAAATGAACTTGTTTAATCGTTTACTCTGCTTTTCCTGTTTAGCTAAGCACACTAGTAATGAAATGAAAAGATTATGAATTATATAGGGCACATTATGATGTGAACTTCTGTATTTGTAATTAAAAATATTAAATCAGCCTTGGCTGGTTCGGTTCAGTGAACAGTCGGCCTGCAGATCGAAGGGTCCCAGGTTCGATTCCAGTCAAGGGCACATACAGGAGGCAACCAATCAATATGCAGCTCTCACATCTATGTTTCTTTCTGTATTTCTCTCTTCCACTCTCTCTAAAAGATCAATGGAAAAATATCCTTGGGTGAGGATTAACAAAAAGACAAAAAATACTAAATCACAAGTTTATACACAAATTTATATCTCCTCCCCTATTTTAACCAATCCTTTATCAGTCACTCAATACTTTTCATAACTATCAATTATTTCTAAATCTTTAAATAGCATTCTTTTCAAATTTATACCTATTTCTTTGCTTTGCCCAATGTAACTTTGCTCCAATTTGATACAAAAGTATGAGTAAAACCTCATTATAAAATGCCTTATTCTATTCTAATTATGAAAATGAGCTCTTATAAATATTTCTCACTTGCTCCTAATAATTACCCTGGTAAGTATGACCCAAAGGTGAAACACTTGCCCATATTAACAGAACTAGCAAATGGCAGAGGTTTCTGGCTCTTATTTCAATGTTCTTTCTACACTGTTTTACCTCCCTGGCCAAATGCTGGTATCCCTGTGTATGGAATATCTTTACACACACAATACAGAAAATCATGTAGTTATGTACTATTGTAGTATGTAATGAATTTTATAATCATATAGAGTTAAAAAGAAATGTATTAATTAAGACTATTATCTCAAAGGAGTGTTGAAGTTATTTTTAAAAAATCTTTTAGAAAGGATTCTAAATCAATACTAGACATAACAAATGTTTAAAAAGTTTAAGCACTCACTGCTGCTTTTCTTGGTCCCCAAAGTTTGGCCATCTTCTAAGGAGTTTGAACCTACGGAAGAACTATCTTGACTATCTTGATGGGGGAGTTGAAGAAATCCTTCACCGGAGTCTGAGCGGGTAGGTGTTAATGTTAGAGATTTCTGACGTTCCCGATTAATATCTTTCTTAGACTTTATCAATTTTCTCATTTTTAGAGTAATCCAGTTGCCTCTCCTGATAGAATAATTTAAAAAGTTCTTATTAGTCTAAAATAAATCCTTCACAAAATTTGAAGTTTAAAATATTCTGTTCTTTTTTCAGAATAAAAATGAGTAAATTTTGGTTAATAGTACCTCCTAGGAGGAGATGGCTCATAAAATTTGTATTGATCCATAATTTTCTCTTCTAATTTCTCCTTTTGTCGTCTTAGTTCATTTAACTTATCACTATAAAAAAAATTTAAATTTTAGAACATACATATTTTATACAGTTATGATATATTTCTATGGCCTCCTACACATATCTCCATTATGGCAATTATTTGTATTTCTCACTTTCTATTACTAGTTCCTAAAGAGCAGTACCCATGTTTTCATGTTAGTATTTCCAGTTATCAGCATACAACCTGAGACATAAGCATTCAAAAAAATATATGTTGAAATAATGTTGAAAGCCAGAAAATTAGATTGTTTTCTCTGCCACCAGAAATTGCCATTATAAAGTCATAACTAATATTTCACAATGCAAAATTATTTGGTACCTACATGTACTGTCTTTGTTCAACATGAAAAAGATCCTTGCTTTCCATATTCTGCTCCAACAGTGTTCTGTTCTGCAGCATTAATGTCTGGATTTGATCTAGTAGATGCCGATTTTCTTCTTCTAAATTTCCTTTAAGTTGGCTTAGCAACTGTTGAAACACAGTTATTTTTTAAAATATCAACATTTACATTTAACATAAATCACCCAAAACATCTGAAAAATAGAGTACTTCACAGATTTCTATCTCCTGCTATTTGAACAATTAGATGATCACACTTTGGTCAGAATGTGAGTGATTAGTTTAGTAATAATGACAGCTAAAGAACTGGGTTATGTGCTATACATCTATGTTCTCATAATTCTCACAAACATTGGGCTTATCATAAATTAGTTCCAAAAACACTGCTTTCTTAAAAATTGTTTAACTTATATTCTGAAAGCTAGATTCAAATCTCTGGCCTTTTAAGTAGCATAATTTTTGACAGTTTTGTTGAATTTTGGTTCTTGGGGAGTTAATTCTTCATGCTCCTCTACCATTTTGTAAGTCCATTACCCCAATCATATTTTACTTAAGACTTTTATAAATCACAGGCAGAATGAGTATTCTATACACTGTAAGCTTTGAGTATTTAAGTGTACAGTGTGGGGCAAAGTAGGTTTATAGTTGTAAGTATATAAGTTTATTCTTATTTTATTATTTACTAATTATTATACTAATTTTTCATATGCACAACTGAAACACTACTTTTGCCCCACCCTGTATATGCTTTCAAACTAATTTTTCCTTCTGTTGGTTTAAAATTTAATACAAAAAGCTTTTAGGTATTACTTTTCTTATACAGTCTATTCCTAACTTTATTTAAAGGTTTGCTTAAGTGCTGGTTCCCTAAAAGTTCCATAAAATTCAGGTGTTAAGCTATGTTCAAACTAATCATTTAGGTACCAACCATAAAATTTAAGGGTGATCTAAGACTTTCAGTATCATTTTTATATTTCAAAACATTTAGCACTTTATCAAACCATTGTAAGAGCCCTGAAATTACGTTGAGAATAAAACTGTATACATAGGCATAATGTCATTTCTATTTAAAACCCTCCAATGGCTCCTAATTTTATTCAGAATAAAAGTCAAAGTTGTTTGATTGTTTTCACAATGGCCTATAAGGCAACATGTCTGGCCCACGCACATCTCTGATCTCACTCCTACCACTCTCCCCGCTTTGCTCATTCCATTCCAGCCACACTGGCCTCCTTGAGTGTTCCTCAAACACACCAGGATTCCCCAGGCCTTAGGGCAGGGGTGGGCAAACTTTTTGACTTGAGGGCCACAATGGGTTCTTAAACTGGACCAGAGGGCCGGAACAAAAGCATGGATGGAGTGTTTGTGTGAACTAATATAAATTCAAAGTAAACATCATTACATAAAAGGGTACGGTCTTTTTTTCCAATAGTTTTATTCATTTCAAACGGCCGGATCCGAGGGCCGTAGTTTGCCCATGGCTGCCTTAGGGTCAGTGTATTGGCTGTTTGCCTGGAATAGCTTTTCCCAGATATCCACATAATAACACCCTAATCTCCTTCAAATCTTTGTTCAATGATGCCTAGAATTTCAATCTGCACTCCCTTACCCCGCTCCCTGACAGTCCTTACCCCCCCTTACCCTACTCCATTTGTCCTTGCACATAATTTATCACTTTCTAACATACCATATGTTGCAGGCTCATTTTCAAAATGGTTACACCAGTATTTTTAGTCCATGTGCTTTTCCAGAACCTTGCTTTTCTCTATCAAGAGGCTGAGTCTATTTCTCTTCCCCTTGAATCTGCACAGGACTTAGATGCCTCAATGAATAGAATGCAGGGGAAACGATGCTGCATGACTTCTGAGTCTTGATCATTAAAAAAAAAGATGGTTTTCGTCTGGTTCTGACCATGTTGTGAGAAAGCCAATGACCGCCCATGGGAAGAGATCACACCGGGAGGAAACGGATACCTCCCTCCAGCTGATAGCCAGCATCCACCACCGGCCTTTCCATCTTCCCGCCGAGGGCCCAGGGGCAAGTGGAGCAGAGGAAAACTGGCTCCCTGTACCTGTCCAAATTCCCACCCACAGACTCTGTGAGCATTAATAAATAATTGTTTTATACCACTACGTTTTGGGGTAATTTGCTACGCAGCCATATGTAACAAAACACTGAAACACTATGTATTTCACTTACTTATTATGTTTATTGTCTGTTTCCTTCCACCAGAATATAAACTACACAGGTGAGAGAGTTTTACCTATTTAGTTTACTAGTACATGCCAGGTGGCCAGTAACATTTTTTATAATAGTAAAAATGGTTTTATATATAGTAGAAGTACCTGAACATATAAGTTTAAACAATAAAAAAATTGAAATTAATAATAAAGGAAGTTTTTTGAATTACTTATGAATTTCAATTATCCATGACCAATTCTTTTAGAAAAACATCCCGCTAAGTATACACTGCTGGTCACTATAATATCACTGTTTAGTTTTTAGATGTGTCTGGATGCCTAACAAAAGGGAGACAGTGATTAAACTTGTTAAAGCTCACCTCACACTGATTATTTAGCTTGGTGGATGTAATGTCCAACTGTTGGTATTGTTCCTTCAGCTTTGAAAATTCAGCTTCCAATCTTGTTTGTTCCAGTTTGGAATTATTTAGAAGACTTTTCAAGTTTTTATGGTCAGTTTGTAAAACTTCAGTTTCTTTTAAAAGCTGATTATATGTATGACTCAACCTATAATTAGAAATCATAATAGAATATAATCAAATTCTCTTAATAGCTTTCATTGTCATTTACATAATGTGAAAATGCTGTAAATCATTCAGACATACTTTAGAGAATATAAAGAATTCTTCTGCCAATTACTACACTGATCAAGAATCAGTTTCTATTTCGTAAAAACTAGATTTTTAAAAAATTGAGTACTTTTTTCCCTTGAAATGAAATCTCTCAGCACTTAAATATGTTGAAGATGTAAAGACACGCAAAATTGTGTGTGCTGCCTTTTAGCACTTCAGCTATGGCAATGTAAGTGCAGTGAAAATGTTTAGGCAAAGCATGTCAAACTCAAAGGCTACACGGGCCAAATAAATGAGGCATGTGGCCCACGGGCCATGGGTTTGACATGCTTGGTTGGTTTAAGCTGTTTAAACTTTTCAAAGGTTTCTAAAAATCTTGAAAATGTACCCTTATGAAGTAACTTGATTACCAGTGGCAAGTTTTGATTTTCCCAAGGCTTCAAGTTAAAAAAAAAATTGCTCCATGGCAATATGAGGCTATTAATACCTAAGATTGTTAAAAATAAAAGTATGAATACATCAGCTAGAAAATCATAAGGTTGCTCACTTGTAGCAACTTCAAAAGACAGGAATTGACCAGACTAGCAAAAAAAAGAGAAAGACATAAAGAATCAGATCTATTACATTCTGTCTTAATAAAGTATGCAAATGCTGTCAAGGTACAAAAATTTCATTATGTAACGTGGCTTAAAAACTTAAGTTACTTGGCCCAACCTGAATGGCTCAGTTGGCGGAGTTCCGTGCTATGCACTGAAAGGTTGCTGGTTCACTTCCCAGTCAGGGCACATACCTGGGCTGTGGGTTTGCTCCCCAGTCGGGGAGCATAGAGAAGGCAACTGCTAGATGTTTTTTTCTCTCTCTCATTCTCTCTCCTTCTTTCCCTCTCTCTAAGCATATCCTCAGGTGAGGGTTTAAAATAAAAAAGCTTAATTAGTTGAATAGAGAGAGAAAAGGAGATCTAGGTTTTTGTCTGAGCCATTCTATAACTAGCTGCATGATTTTGTTGGTTATTACTTATTGCTGGGGTCTGTTTTTAAAATTCTAATTTATGAATGGTACTGCAAAGAGGTAGTATACATTTTAGATGTAATGAATAATAATACAAAACTAAAATATGTAAGTATTTATTACCTACCTATCATTTTCACCACAAAGTTTCTTGTATTCTGCAGCTACAGTCTCATGGTTTTTGTTTTCGAGCAGCATTTTTTCCTGTTCTACTTTCAGTGTTTTTTCCAAATCTTCCAATTGTCCTTTCTGTTTTAGTAACTGATTATAACTGGGGGGAAAAGTTAGATATTTGGTTTATAATATTTCCTCAAGGGGAAAAATACTTTAAAATGAAAAAAAAAGAGTAATTTATTACATGCCAGTATCACAAAACATGTAAATTTATATAAATTTCCTATATCTCTTAGATGTGCTTAATTCAACATTTACTTTATTACCCAAAGTAAATAGGTTTTCAATTAAAAACACAGAAAAATAATAAATTACCGATCTTCGAGGTCTTTATGTTCCACCTCAAGATTTTTGTGGGCAGACTTTAGAGTTCCATGTTTAGCAATGAGAGATTCATACTCCGAAGCCTGCCGTTCATGAAGAAGTTCCAGTTTTTCATGATCTTTGATCAGAGAATCATAGAGAGATTTCAGGTCTTCCCGCTCTTTGATTACAGACTCATTTTCATTTTCTAAGGAAGACTGCTGGATTAGGAGTTGTGCATTCTGGTTCATAAGAGAGGTACTTTGGGAATTAAGTGTGGAATTTTCAACCTATAAGAATGTATATTGTTATCAGACATAAGGAAAATAGTTTATATTGTTCTTTTGGGTTTTTTTAAATAAGATTACATTAACTTTATGAAGTTCTAAATAAATCAAAGCAGATATATGCACATTATACTGAGAAAATTTGAATTTTCATGTCCCAAAGAACAAGGTTACCATTTAATTTTGATTTTTGGTAGGTGTTATTATATATTTACTAATATATATATATATTAGGGGACCTATATCATATATATGTTTTAGGTTGAATTATTTTAATAGCATAATTCAAGACTTTGGTTGCATATCCCCCACATTATACATTACAACCTGAAGCTTGGCATTCTGTGTTTGAAGAGTAGTATTCTGCTCTTGTAATGACACTGTCTGCCTCTGAAGTGCAAGAATCTGAGCCTGCAAATTATTGTTCTGTGTCTCAAGTTGCTTCAGTTGAGTTTTCAGTGCTTGCTTCTCTGCTTGTAGTGTAGCATTCTTAATAAAGAAAACACACATATTATAAATAAAAGCAACATCAAACTATTTCTATTCAACAGATAATGGAATTTTGTACAAGTATTTTTTTACCATTATAATAAAAAATAACCCTAAAATCTTAAAAGAGAAAAGAAAATATTCCCTCTATCCCAAATGGTAAACAGATATCTAAGAAAAGAAAGCAATAATTATAAAATCTTAATAGACTACTGTATCTGTGTCTGTCTGCTTTATAATACCTGAAAAATAAAATACTCCATTCTAAATATATTGACTAACACAAAAAACTAGAATGTGACTGTCAGTTGTACGGTTTTCATGCTGCTCAAAAGTGCTCAGTGTGTCCAGAATGAGTGGGGCTGTTTCTAGAAGCACTCAATGGAGTGCTTCCTTTCTAAATGCCCAAAGGGAAATACAGATAGACAGACAGACAGACAGACAGATATGTGGTGGTCACAAGGATAGCAGCAAAACGAAGTATTTTATAAACACAAATATTTGGAAGAGAAGTAGAAACAATCTTAACCATCTGTTTAAAAATTTTAGTGCCTACAAACCTAACAGATATTACATATTTTCTTTAGTAATTATTTCTCATGGTATAAAACACTCACTATAGCTCTATTTCATCTATAGGACTTCTAGAGCAAATCCAAACAAAACATACCATTTTCAATTTTTCCAGTACATATGGCCATAATCCAGTTTTACAGTTAAATGGTTGAATTACTGTGCAAATTATAGTTAATGTTCTAAATATTAAAATGTTTGTCATGAATATTATATTTTCAGGATTACTTCTAAATAACATACCATAAATAACATAGCATCAAAAGGTATAAACATAGAATCCTAATCCTCTAGAAAACCAAACTTAAAATCTTTAATATATAAAAGACCAGAATCCTATCTAATAAAAGACAAAAATGGTAATTGGCGTACGACCGATACCCTTTTCATTGGCTAATCAGCGAGATATGCAAATTAACTGGCAGCCAAGATGGCGGCAGGCAGCCAGGCAGCTGATGCAAACAGTGACGGAGGACTACAACGTTCCCCGCCTGCCGCTCCGGCCTCTGAGCTCCTGAAGCAACAGCTCCAAAAGATACAATGTTTCAATTATAGAGCTAAAAGATGGTGGTTAATTTGCATACACCAGTTGCGAGGGAAGACTGAGGACAAAATGGAGGCCGAGCGGCACAGAAGGGAGCCAAGTAGAGGCGGCGGCGGGG